TCCGACAACCACACCATCCCCCACATACAATCACACACCCCACAAACACTGCAGCCACCCACACCGTCTCTCACACCTCCCCTACCTGCACCCACACATACAGACAAAACACATACCCGCACACCTCTGGGGGGAGCCTCACTCACTGCTACGTGCACACACACACCCACACCACCCCACACCCACCCAACCACCCTCCCCTTCACACCACACAAACCCCATACCCACACACACATCCCCACAAAAACTGCCGTCACAACCCCCCCATACAGCCTTCCCCACAAACCCCATACCCACCCCCATGCCCCTCCACACTCTCCTGCAATATACAAGAGTAAGACCTCATTTTGAGTTATTATAGAATCACCTCCATATACACCACACAAACATACACAAAATATTTTTTTTAAATAAAATATGTTATTGTCAGTGCTTGATTTTTAGATTGTTTTTTTTTCTGGTTCCAAGATGGCAAACCCCCTTCCCAAATGCAGTACTTCTGGGGGCAAGGGGAGGGATTTCTGGTGGCAAAGGTCAGGGATTAGGGCAAGGGACTTCCGGTCCCAGGATGGTGACCAGGGGGTGGGGTGCCTGTCAAGGGGCAGGGCTACCCTTGCAGCCCTCAACAGCTTGCCAAAACTTGTTAAGTGGCCCTCCACACACAATAATTGCCCATCCCTGTGCTAACTCCTTGTGGGTATATGTGATCTATCAGCTGTGGACATAGAAAGAAAGTCCCTTTCCCATTAAAGAAAACCACACTTCAGATTTAGCATGATAAACTTTTTACCACAATCTGAAGTAATCCCCAAAGTGAGAACATCTGTCTCCCCATAAACTGTATGATTCTAGAAGTTTCTAACAGATCATTGGAAAATCCCCATTAAGTTACACTGGAGACAGGTGAACCCAGGTAAGGAGGGTTTCTTCAACAAGCCAAAGTATCTAAAGACTTATTTGGAAAACTAAGATCAATCACATCCCACCTCCAAAAGTCCACATCTAGTGTGTTGCTATAGATTTTCTGAGCCACCCCTGAGCTAAACACGCCTCTCAAGCCCCTAGCAGACCTTATACTTGAGCTGCAATTTACCTGTTACCACACATTTAGGCTATTAATGGTGCAAGAACAAACAAAACTAGCCACAAAATTACTACACAAAAAATTGTAGCAATTTTGTGGCTGGTTTCCAGGGGCCTTAAATTGAATGTGTGCCACAGTAGATGGTACCAGGGCTCCAATGGGCCCAAGTGGGTCCTTCCTGCTGCTGATCAGCTGATTAGTAGCAGCATGAGGACACTGCTGGTGCTTGAATGGGCCCCAGTATGTCCCTACTTACTGCTGATCAGTAGCAACATGAGGACCACCCTGGAGCCCATGCAAGCCCCTATGCTGCCACTGATCAGCAATTGGCTCCAGGGGCTTGAACCAGCCCATTGCATCCCTGGAACCAGCTAATAATCAGCTGATTGCTGGGCACCTTTGCAAGTGCAGATGGAGCTGAGATCATGATCCTGGGCTCCCCCTGTACTGGCAAGGAGGGCACAATTGGGGTCTGATTCCTGATCCCAAAATCACACTTTCTGCTATGCACACATAGCATGGCAGGAGGCATGATTGTTGGGATCACAGATCACATCACATCACACCTTTAACTAAGCATCTGTTGGTGGCCTCAATTTCTTTATATACTCCTGTGTAATACCTCAAAACCAAAAGGATGGTGGGTGACAAATGGCTATTTTGCCTTTCAAAGGTCAGACCATGATGTCTCTGGAAGGTGGGAGAGGCAGGATCCTCCAGATCATTTACCCTTTAGTTTGTCTTTTAAAATTATTGAGAATGTCTATACATGTGCTCTGTGGTGGGGAGGGGGGACACTTTAATTAGAGAGCTGCTCTAGTTAAAGTGCCCAGTGTCACATGTATTCAGTATCCCATGCTTCAAAATGGCGGTGGGGGCACTTTAACTAAATCTCATTCGATGAGCTTGCCACTATTTTGAAATGTGGGGACGCTAAATACATATAACATGTTCACTCCAGCAGACTTGCAGCAGGCTCGATTAATCAAGTCTGCTACAATGCATGCTAATTAGCAGGCGTCAGAGCAGAGCTCTGTCACATGTATAGGTGTCCACTGTTTCCACCATTTCAATTTAGGGAGAACTAATGGTGAGGGAATGGGGCTGGGGCAGGGACAGGCACTGCCCAGCTGGGGTGGAGCATGGGACAGACCCATGAGCAGCTCGTCCAGGGTGTGGGGGAGGGCCAGCTTCCACCGCTGTGCACACCCCGTGAGGGCATGGGGAGCAAGTGTCCCTGGATCTGTGCACAGGATGAGGAAGGGCTGCTGCTGGGGGCTCGGGGCTGCACCAGGTTCTTCCCAGCGGGGGGCTGGGCTGGGCCGGGCTGCACTTGGGGCAGGCAGCGGTGCTGGGGGAGAGGGTTGGTGGGGCTATGGCAAATTTGGGGAGGCTGCAGCACCCCCATCTCAGTACCACCACTGCCTGAGCGTAACCCAGCCCAACCCCTCCACTGGGAAGAGCCCAGCACTGCCCCCGACCCCAGCCTGCAGCAGCAGCCTGCCCTCACCCCATACGCAGATCCAGGGGCACATGCTCCCTATGCCTTCCCAAGGTATGCACAACAGTGGGAGCCGTATCCCCCCCACATGCCCCGGACAAGCCACTCACGTCTCAGTCCCTTGCCCCACTCTGGCTGTGCAGCATCTGCACCTGCCCCGCTCCCTCCCTCACCATGGGGTCCTCAATCTGCCCCCCCTTTGCCCCTCCCCCACAACAGACTTACCAGCCACATCCAAATGCTCTCCATGCTGCCGGGGTGTCCTCCTGGCCACCTGCGTGCTGCACTGCATGGGGCATTTATCAGCCACATCAGCCAAAAAAAAGCTGATTGCCGATACTCTCAATTTTTCTTATATCAGTGCTGATCCAATATGGAACCAATGTATCAGTACACCTCTAATTTACAACAGTACCTTCTTCAGAATGTTCCTCATCACGTATTTCCGTAGGCATTTTTCCAGTTCATTGTTACCCTCCACCATAGAGACTCTTCTAAGGATTCCTATGGAAGAAAATTCACGATTTTGAACTGGAGAAGGAACAGCTTGTGGCTGAAGCACAAGCCAAGGTGTGTAGAAATCAGTGCTTCTTCCTAGATTCTGTTGTGTGACTTTTGGCTAGTCCTGTAAGGCAGGCTTCTGCATAGAAATTTAGTGGACCTGCACAGTGTCAGGGTGGGGCTTGGGATTTTTGTCTACTTTATTATAATCTTGAAAATCCAAAATCACTGCCTGAGATATTCTAGCCAACTCTTCCTTCCAGCTCCACTAACATTCCTCACCCTCACATAATACTCACAAGCCCTGCAAAGGGCTTCCCTGAAGTGTCTCTTCTTGGAAACCAGGGGTCTCCAAGCAGCTACCAGAAAAGGTGGGGAAAATATCTTTTCTCATCCCTTGTCAAAATTCCCTTTTGCCACTATGTAGCCAGCTTGAAACCACCAGAAAGGAGGAAGAGCTGGAGGTGAGAAGCAGCTTGCTGCCTCAGAGCTTTGCTGGCAGAAAGTACAGGAGGCCAGAATAAGAGGGACAGTAGCTTGCTAACTCCTTCATGCAAGTCATACAAAGTGATCTTTTACAAATCCCATCTTCCTGGGGGTCACAGGAGTAGTACAGAGGGACTCACCTAAATTCCTAGCATCAGGATAGTGCTGTAGGTACTGTGTATATTCCTTAAAGGCAAGCGAATCCACTGGAAAAGTGTTCTTTAAGTATCTAACCTGAATATATGCAAAATTAAAAGGATAAGTCAGTTTACATGAGACTAGAGTTAGTTAAGAAAATACTCCCACCCTTCACTGTTATCTCCATCCTTAGCTTCCCTGTCAAGTTTGTGGTGATACAGCAAAATAAGGGAGTGGTACTCAGCAAGGAGTTTTTGGCTGGAGTAAAGCAAGTGACCATATACGCAGCAAATACAACAAAATGGCTCTTCAGCCTGGGCTTCAAATAGAATAACTGGGATGTTGTTTTTAGCAAGGGCTGAAGGTCAAAGGGAAGAGTTTTGTGGAGGAAGTTCATTATCCTTTCAAACCCCTGGGCAATAATGGTGCACAGGGCAGTGCTGGCTGCTTCGCACACAGTCATCAGTTGCACTGATGGCTATTTAGCACCTGGAGCTAATACCCTGATTCCACCCCCTCAGTTATGCTACTGCCTGGGATGTAGTGCAGAAAAGAAGCAACATGAGATACAACAGCATTTTTATCCCTTTGTGTGACCCCTTTTAGGGCTCTCTCCAAGCCCCTGTCTAAAATCCAAATCTCTTGTCTCCCTTCATAGATACGTGCACTAGGGCTGTGCAAAACGGCACTGTTCCATTCCAACGTCAGTTTTGAGGTCTGGATGGAACAGTGTTTTGTATCGAATTTCATTTCAAGACAAAACAGTGAGGCTGTTTTGACACTGTTTCACCTGACCATGGGGCTGGGGGCAGGAAGTCAGCCCAGCCAGAGTGATCTAGTGCAGGGGATGGGAAGTCAGCCCAGCTGGACGTGTCCAGTGCTATGGCCAAAATGTTTCCACTTTCAAAACATTTTGACTAGCCTCGTTTTGTTTCAAGGCTATTTCAACACCCTTTGTTTCACTTTGATTTTGTTGTTGCAACCTCAAAATGAGTCGGAACAGTGTTGAAATGAAATGGCCAGCAAAATTTCACACAGCCCTAATGTGCACCACCCAGATTCACCCGCACCCTCATCCACTTACCAACTTTTCAGCCTTCCCAACACAGCTCCTCCCTAGCCTGGCTCAGATGCTCACTGAACACTCAGCTCTCTTTCTGATTAGAAACACATCCCATACACATGCCCAGGCCCTAGACTGAGACCCTTCATCTCAACTAACCCTCCACAGTTCAAAACCATACCCTCAGTTCTAAACCCTCACTCATCAAACCATCTCAGGGTCAGTATACCCCTACACATACCCCAGATTTAGAAAACCCACTCTAGACTACAAAATCTTTCCCCCTCACTTGCCTCCTGCTAGCAAATCCCTTGGGTCAGAACTCTTCTCTGTACCTTGCTTGGAAAGCTCCTGCTTCCCTTGCCCTGTGCCTCCGTCCTCTGCTGTTTTCCCACCTCTTCCAAGGTTCCAGGGCCTAGAGATTGCAAGGAATACACCTGGGTAGTCCCAGAGTCTCCCTCTTTAGGGCTAACACTGCAAAAACTTGAATTTCTTGTTCTGTGCTTCCTTCCTGCCTAGAATCTTGGTGCGGCAAGGCCAAAAGTTTCCCAGTGGCTGCTCCACTGCAAATCCCTGAATAGCAGTAGATTGTCTTATCCTCTGCAGTACAGTGGCTGTGCAACAGAGTACTCCCAGCTGCTCTCTCAGACCCACACATTAATACCAGATATGCACAGAAGCAGAAACATTGTCCTCCAATACACACATGCCAATCTACAGAACAGTGTTATATAACCCTACTGGATGAGAATCATCATTGTGTAGTCCCTAGTGCCCACCTTAACAGCTCTTTGATCTTTAATTCTTTCAATTTCAATCATGTTCCGGTCACAGAGCTCCCAGCAATTTGGCGATAGAATAACTTCACTCGCATTCGCTAGGCTTTGAGCCAAACGAACTTCATCCACTGCCCGGCCAATTACCAGAAAATACTGGTGCTTGTTGTCTCCAACAACAACTTTGGAGATATGGCCTGCAGAAAGTCCTGGTAAGAGAGAAACAAGGTTGTTGAGGAGTAAAGTAAAATGTTTTTACTTTATGATTTGCAATATAGGCATCTCTATTTAGTTTTGGAAGCCAAATTAGACATCCAAAATGTGTCTCTCAGGCTGGAAAACTTAAATCAGTTCTTGATACTATATGATACTTATTGCAGGATAGTGTCTTTCTAGCACGTGGCTTTACAAATATTTAAACAGTATGGGAGAGAGATTATATACTCATAACATATATAATTGTCACCTTGTGTCATTTATTGTAGAGTTGCAAACCTTCTCCCATTAATATTATCTACACTGGAGACCCCAAATCTGAAGTCTGCCTGACCTGCAAAGTGCAGTCTTCAATCAGGTCCAG